TCCTCCCGCCCCATCAGACACAGGTACCTCCCGAAACTTCCATGTCCGGTGAGGACCTGCGTCAGGCGGTAGGTGAGGACGCCGTAGCGTCTCTCAAGCCACTCCTCAAAGAGGGGACTTACCGCTGCGATGGCAGCGAGCCCAGCCCTCGGTTGCGACAGTCGTTGCTGCCATTCCGCCATGAGATCGCGCCGGAGCTCATCCCGCCACGCACTTATCTGGCGCGGCAGCGGAGTTTCGCCCCGGCGACGTGCCTCCGCGCGCATGCTGTGCACGCGCGCGAGCACCTTCGCCTCCAGATCCCACGGCGGTAATCCGGCAAGGAGGTTCGCCGACTCCCCAGAGATCGTGCGGTATCCGCGGATCATTCGGATCGCCATGACCCTCTGTGCCATGAGCAGCGTCCGAGCGGGACGCCGCAACAGGTTAGGCGCCCAAACAGGGGCGCCGTAGAGGGCCATGGACCGCACGACCCCGGCGTATAACCTCCGGCAGGAGGCGTTTGGCCCCCCGAGGTTGGGGAGGATGCGTTTAAACGCAGCCCCCGCCCTCGCCAACTTTGGAGCCAAACGTCGGAAGTGCTCCACGAAGTTCCACCGACTGTCGAGGACGAGTCCCAGGTACTTCATCGTCGTCTCGACGCCGATGGTAACCCCTCCCGCCATTATTTGGGACCCACCCGGAGGTGGCGCGTTCCCGCGGCCATGAAAACACATGGCCTCGGACTTGTGGAGCGCCACCTCGAGTCCCAACTGCCGGATTTTTTCAACGACTGTCGCAACCGCCTGCCTAACCCCTTCGGGGATAAAAGGCGTGGTGTTATAATGTTATTTAAGTTAATTGTACTGTTTGTAAAATACTGTTAAATAAAAAATCAATCTCATTTTTTGAGATTTTTATAAATAGACCGTTCGGTTATTTATTTATTTATTTATATATGCTTCATTGTACACATTTAAGTAGCTTAAAACAAACAATTCAAGTAAATATGCCTACAATGGGCGATCTTATCACACAATGGTGATTTCTTCCAGACAACCTTTGTATGGAAATATTTGTAAGAAACCAGATAAGGGGTAGTTACGTGTACAATAAAATAAAAAAAAAAACAAAATAAAAATGCCTACAATACAACCTACAATAGATATAATATACTAGCAATATATAAAAATACGAATAGGTTACACATAGGTATTTATAAAAAAGTAACGTTACTCACTAAATTAAACCAAGTTAGTTTTACAAAGGTACACAAGACTAAACTTTAAACGAACTTCAAACATTTGCATTTGCCTTCTAAACATCGCTTAATTGCAAAACTCCCGGTAAGATCGTAACAATTTGCTCGCGCTTCCGAACCTCATTTAAAGACCTCTATAAAATTTATCTACCACATAACATCGAACCCACTGCACGTCATAAACCTCACTAATAATGTCATCAACTAAACCTGAGTTGAGAAATTACTGCAGAATTTGCTCAGTGGTTGGGCGATTACCAACTGCCCACCGCCTTACTTCTTCATTTTTTTTATGATACTCAAATGTGGGACGTATATTTGAATTTTATTTAAGTATTCGTAAATACCTCGTTGGCCCCTTGGCCGACCCCTTGGTCGCAAGTGGGACTGCCGGGCAAGGGGACTCGGGTTCGATTCCCGGGTCGGGCAAAATATTACTGGGTTTTGTAAAAATCTTAATAGTAGCCCGGAGTCTGTAAATGTGCCCGGTATATGGCAATAGGCTCACCCCCTATTACATGGGACTCATAACATAAATAGTGAAAAAGGGACGTTACATTGTACAGTGGCATTAAGTGCCGTAATGTGCACCTCTGCCTGCCTCTTCGAGGATAAGAAAGCGTGATGTTATGTTGTATTATGTTCGTAAATGCAAAAGAGCAAAGTTTTATATAGAAAGAAAACTCGATACAAAATAAAACCATGCATTTTTCAGTTTACACAAAATACAAGCATGTTAGAAAATATTTCCATGTTAAGCGCATGCAGGAAAAAGATTCAGAATAAATAATATCAATTTACGATGTCTGAGGGAATCATAAAGACATTTTGAGTACTCGACGGGAAACTTCAGCCATTTCACTATCATGAAATGGTAGTGCTCTTGCTAAACTTTGCCATACTCGGCGTATTCCGAATTCCCATTGTTAAGTTTTAAAATTCATTATGGTGTTAACTTTTATTTCAAAGTACGTACTTGTTTTGTGTATATACGAGTTGTTCAATTTGTTCATTTATTTATTTGTTTATACTTTTTTTTATTATGTTTTCGGCTTACTCACGTAATAATTTGACAAGGAACTCGACGAATATGAGCCTATAGCATGGCTTGAAACTAGTCGAGTTCCTCGTCAAATTATTACGTGAGTAAGCCGAAAATATAATAATTTATTTAGTATGTTTCACGAAAGTTACAATACAAATTTATTGCACACACTCAAAATGTTTATACATTGTAATAGTAATTTGAGTACAATGGGCGGTGTTATCACATGCGGCGATTTCTTCCAGACAACCTTTGGATGGAATTTTTGAAAATAATTAATGAATTTATTTTTATTATTAAACAGTATTATTATTATTTAAAAGTAGATTCATTACAAGTAACTGAATAATTGCCAAATAATAAATATACCTACTACTAGGTTCAAAGAATAATAGGCTAAATACTATGTCAAAACAGAAAACCCTCTCGATTATAACTCCTTAGACTAAGGCT